ATGCAGGAGGTTAAGAGAATTGTAGTTTTACCCTCGGGAGTGATAGCTTTCAATAAAGAGGGTAAGAGACCCCATGAACTATTTACCCAGAACCACAAGAAATTGAAGGAAGAAGGAGAAAAGTGGATGAAAGAGGCAGCAACTTCTAGTACAGTTGTAGGTGCTCTCACTATTACCATCATGTTTGCTGCAGCCTTCACAGTTCCTGGTGGAAACAATGGAGGAACAGGCTTACCCATATTCTTACACGAAAATATGTTTATGATTTTCGTAGTTTCAGATGCTATATCTCTCTTTTCTTCCATAACTTCAGTGCTAATGTTTTTGGGAATTCTTACATCACGTTATGCGGAAGATGATTTCCTCAAATCCTTACCCACAAAGATGATAATAGGCCTTTCAACACTCTTGATCTCCATCGCTACCATGATGGATGCCTTTTGTTCTGCCCTTTTCCTTATGCTTCATGAAAGATTACACGTTGTTATCCCAATCATTTTCCTCGCCACCATTCCAGTCGCCTTATTTATTGGGATGCAATTTCCCCTTCTTGTTGAGATTTTCATTTCTACATACGGAGGAGGAATATTTGACAAGAAAGTGAAACGGTGGATATAAATTCTTGATGGTAAATGAAATCTATTTTTTATTTTTTATTTAGAAATGAAATAATTGTATATACTTTCGTAATGTTGTCATCACTTTTAAGAAGCTTGTTTGTATTCACTATGTAAGTGTTTAGGGGTCCTGTAATAAAAACCTCGTCATTTTAATTGTTCTTCAATTATGAAGATATAGTTGAGTAGGAGAACCCTTTACATCTCTCCCCTCCCCTCCTCCAACCTTCTAATGTTATTTTTGATTGAATTTTTTTTTTAATGCATTAATTGTTCTTTATGCAGAGATGTAGTTTTAGGGTTAACGGCCAGTGTGTGATATAGTTGTTAGCTTATGTAACCTGGCCGTCCCTTCCTGTCACGCTCCAAATTTTAAATAAACAATGTAAATTAATTTAATCCTTATTGTATATCATGATATGAAATTTTACTGAACTAAAATATTTTCTAGTATTGGTGTTTTGGGCACTATTTTCTTAAACAAAAGGGGTTATTTATGTTGAATACAAATTATGTTTAACGCTTTGTTTTCGTCGACTCGCATTTTCTGCTTTTCGTCCCCCAGGTTCTAGCTATCCGAGGTCTAGACCAGCACATCGAGGCATCGCCGTTGTCCGCACTGTAGAAACTCCTCATTTATCTTTCTCTACTTTTCATTTTCCCCAAGTTGTAAACTTAATCTTTAGTTGCTCTGCTTGCTCGTTTTGAGTTCGGGTAAAGGCCATGAAGCCCATTTGAATAGTCTTAACTGTTGTGCGTGCCCTTACCTTGTGCATGTTGAAAGTTGGGTTTGTTCTGGGGCATGTTCTAGTGATAAGGAAGACTTTGCTGAAATTTCGGTAGAAGTCGAATTGTCCATTAGTTTAAATTGGGGCTATAGGGCTTTTTAGTAAAGTTGGTCCGACATTGGTTAGATGCCATATGGGAAGCAAGGTTCGTCATAGATTCCGAGGGAGAATTCGGGACGGCTCCTTTCAACTAAAATAAAACTAATAAACATTAAATTCAGAGCTTGAATTGGTGTACATTCCTATGCTAAAGCAAAAACATGTAATCCTTTAATGCCAAATTTAAGTAGGCCAAAACCCAACACTAATGAACGTAGCACATGATTAGGCAAGAGAAACTCAGGGTCAAGGGGACGAACAATCACAGCAGGTGTTGGTGGAAAGTGGGGGTCAGCCAGAGCAGACATCTTGTCCTCTTTTTTATATATTCTTTTTTGAAGTAATGGCCTCGTTTCTAACCATATTTGTGTTTTGCTTCTTGATTTTATATATTGTTGATCCCTAAAATTGATTCAACATAAGATGACCTTTTCGAGACTGAGGTTGGGCAATTCTTCCAGTCTAGGTTAGTGTGACCAACAAAGTCGTCGTCCAGATGATGCAAAACATAAAAGCTAACGGTGGGTGACACCGGTGTGGTCCCGACCAAGGACCCTTCGATGCTTAAGTTAGTCGGGTGTTTACAAGCAGATTGCACAATAGATTATGGTGCTTAGAATTGCATACCGTTGACAAAGGGTTCCTCCATCTTTTATATCACCCCAGACTACCTAGTCCTTCTCAAAGTAGAACTCCAGAACAACCTAGCCCTCCTCGAACTAGGACTCCAAAACAACCTTGTCCTCCTCGGACTAGGATAGGCGTCTCGGTGATCTCAAAACATCATAGTTTCTCTAAGACTAGGAATCCTTTGAGTGAACACCACATAAACTTAATTGATGTCAACCTCAGACACACCGGGCCCAAGCCCATGGACCAATGGGTCAACAAGCCCAACTAGGTCAAGGTGAAAAAATATATGGCGATCAGGCTCGAGCCCAACTTGACCACTAACATCGAGCTCATCCAGACCATATGGGCCTAAACTCAACTATGTCATCGTGCTTTAGCCAAGCTTGGTCTAGATGTATTTTACCTCATAAACAGAAGTCCCCCAAGTCCCAAACAAGAGAGTTTTGTGTGGGGAGTTGCATTTTAATAATTTGGCTGAGCTAGCAATATTAAATAATATCATATTTTTGTAGTAACTAACAGATCTATACCATGAAGAGTCCCCAAATCTTCATAATAATAAAAAGTGTGGCTAAAGGACTTGGGCAATAGAGAAGAAAGTAATAATTTGTCGTGCAAATGAGAAATATAACTTGATGTGTAACTGGACTAATGATATAGACGCCACGTATCATGATGACATTGGTGAAAGAAGCTCAATTGAAGTTGACAAGTCTCGAGGTCGGATCTTTGCCAATTTGAGGTGAAGCTCAGCACGTTGTGAGGTCGGATTTTCCCCAACATGAGGCTAAGCTTGGCAATTTGGTGTTGATTTTCTTACCAATATAATCCTAAGCTCAACAACTGTTGAGGTTGGAGTCTTGCCAACCAGGACCTCAGCTCAGCAAGGACTTTTGCCAACATGAGCCTAAGCTTGGCAATTCGAGGTTCGTCCTTGCCAACCTGGGCGTGAGCTTGGTGATTTGATGTTGGTTCCATTCCAAGTTGAGCATGAGCTTGGTGATATGAGGTTGGTTCTTTGCCAACCTGAGCATGAGCTTGGTGAGGTATGGTGGGTCTCATGCCGACCTGAGCATGAGGTTGGCGATTTGATGTGGGTCCTATTGCCAACCTGAGCATGAGCTTGGTGAGTTGAGGTTAGACCTTTTGTCGATCAAGGTGCAATAAAAATTTGAGCTTGGACCTCTCGTCCATATGAGCTTAAAAAGAATTTAATTGGGACATTTTTCTCATATGCGCTTGACAAAAAATTGAGCTTGGACCTTTTGTCCGTCACGACGCGATAAAAATTTGAGCTTGGACTTCTCATCCATATGAGCTTGACAAGAATTTAGCTGGGATATTTTTCACATACGCACTTGACAAAAAATTGAGGTTGGACCTTTCGTCCATATGAGCTCGATAAAAATAGAGCTTTAACCTTTTGTCCATCAGAGGTCGCCAAAAAATGAGCTTGTACCTTTCGTCCATCAAAGCTTGACAAAAATTGAGCTTGGACCTTTTGTCCGTCACGACGCGATAAAAATTTGAGCTTGGACTTCTCATCCATATGAGCTTGACAAGAATTTAGCTGGGATATTTTTCACATACGCACTTGACAAAAAATTGAGGTTGGACCTTTCGTCCATATGAGCTCGATAAAAATAGAGCTTTAACCTTTTGTCCATCAGAGGTCGCCAAAAAATGAGCTTGTACCTTTCGTCCATCAAAGCTTGACAAAAATTGAGCTTGGACCTTTTGTCCGTCACGACGCGATAAAAATTTGAGCTTGGACTTCTCATCCATATGAGCTTGACAAGAATTTAGCTGGGATATTTTTCACATACGCACTTGACAAAAAATTGAGGTTGGACCTTTCGTCCATATGAGCTCGATAAAAATAGAGCTTTAACCTTTTGTCCATCAGAGGTCGCCAAAAAATGAGCTTGTACCTTTCGTCCATCAAAGCTTGACAAAAATTGAGCTTGGACCTTTCGTCCATAAGAGCTCGACAAAAACTAAGCTGGAACCTTTAGTCCATATAAGATCAATAAAATAGAGCTTAGACCTTTTGTTTATCAAAGCTCGGGAAAAATTGAGCTGGGACCTAAAGGCAATTTTGTCCAGGAGCAGGTCTCTGGTGATTAGGAAATTCTAGCTGAATTATTGTAAGGAACGAAAACTGTTTTCATACTGTTTTTTGTTTGAGCAATGGATGCCATCTTCCATTTCAGCACAATCACATTATTTGAATAATATAAGTCTATGTAGGTAGTTTGTGTGAAGATGAATAAAATATAAAACTCCATTTTTGAAGTTCAAAGCTGCGCAAGTTGACTGCCATGCCATCCAAGTGTACTATCTATTCTGTGGCCAACCTTGGTTTCCATTGGGCTCAGATATTTTTCAAGTTTGCTTACAACCAGTCGTTCTGTCTTCTCGATGTGGTGCTCTGTTTTGCCTAGTAGTGCCTGCTATGTTTTGTGTTCTGCACTGTAGTTGATGTTCTATATTTTGTATATTCTTGTCTCCTGTCATTCTGAATGAAAATTGTTAGTATGAAAATAGTGTTGTCATTTCCTAGACTCTAGCATACGGTTGAGGGCACTAAGACCGTGGTATGTAAAAAGAATGATGAATTTTTTTTTTTTTGGGAAATTACATAGAAGTATGAGAAATGATTCAGGTGAGAATGACGCAGAAAGTGCCACTCTCAGCTTTTGAATCAGCAGAGACCACCGAAAAACCGTAGGGTCCACCAAAATTACAAGGAAGTTTCTCAGTCTCTCCCGTTGTCAAAAAGTTCATCTACGCGTACCACCGACGCAACCCACACACGCCTCACACGCACATCACTTCACATATGTAAGTGCAAATGCCTAAACCTCTACGCATATAAAATCGTACACACCCGCCATCATCACCATCGTAGAAGGCATAAACCGGTTGAGGAAGTGAACCTTGAACCTACCTCCGGCGTCACACAACAACAACTGACCCCGAAACTCACTCGGCTTTAAGTGTCCACTACCCTCACCACGTTTCCTACTCTCCACTCACAAATTACACATACATCCGCCGAAAAAACTAACAATGGCCGAGGTGAGACCCAATTCGTCCGCCTCTGATTCTCTATCTTTTGGTTTAGCCCTTATTTTCTCTCTATATGCTTGCGTTTGCTTGATGGGTTTGCGTTTGAGTAATGGGTTTTGGTGTTTGTTTTTGGGCTTCATGTAGAAGAACAACAACAATGGCGTCGAGAACAAGAACAAGAACAACGACGGGGGTGAGAAGAAGAAGGCGGACGGCCCCATCGCCTCTAAGATTGTCAAATGGGTCAAATCTTTTCAGGGTAAAATCATTCAACCCCAGTTTATCAGATTTCCTTCAAATTATGTGTTCAGAGATTCTGATCTCCCTTTACTCCTCATGAAATTGTCTTCTTTTTATTTTCTCTATTTTGGTGCATGGAAAAAGTAATATTCCAAAGGAGTTTGATTCAGATTATGCTCTGTTTCTACTTTAGTCTTTATGGGTTGAATCTCATACGCAATTAGATTCAATTTTTTTTTGGTTTAATTTCTGGGATGGTTTTTAAGTTGTGTGTATTATATATGCAACACAGGCGCTGAGTCGGTGAAATCTGAAGGCCAAGCGAACAAGCTGACGGTGGTCGGAAAAGTGGACCCCACAAAGCTGAGAGACGAGCTGGCCACCAAGACCAAGAATAAGGTCGACCCCGTCTCTCCCCAGCCCAAAAAGGACAACAAAGTCAACAAAGACGACGCCAACGACACCAAGAAAAAGAAGCCTGAGAAAACAGACAACGACGAAAAACCCAAAGAGAAAGAGGTGTGTGTAGTGCGCATTGGTTCCTAACGTGTGCCTGTCTTGTTCTACGCACCTGCCTCAATTTTTTAATTTTATTTTTCCAAAATTTATCGCTTTTATTAATTAAACTGGTCATGGGTTTGTGTAGGCTCCGTTGAAATTGAGAAACTGGAGAGTTTTGAACCGGATAAGCATAAGCTTGGGAGTTTTTTATTTATTTATGGTAACAAGCTTGACGTGTTCTAGTTTGTTAGGTGAGATTATAAATTCCACCAATCGTTATGTGACGGCGTCATTTCTACGATGATGAATTTGTTTTTAATTATTTGCAATGGGTAATGTGGACAGAGCACATTCCACACTTGAAATATTTGGAGGTGTCAAAGATCGAAGGTGAGGTTATCAATTCCACCAATAGTTATGTGACAGTGTCGTTTCTACGATGATGAATTTGTTTTTAATTATTTGACATGGGTAACGTGGACAGTGCCCGATGTGGTAAGCACAAACGACGGGAACGACGGGAACGACGGGAACGATGGCAACGATGGCAATGGTGGTGGCGGTGTAGAGGAGAAGAAAAAGCAGGGAGAGGAGAGCAATGGTGGTGGCAAAATGAAGTATACAGCGGGTCAGTCCGGCTTTGGACAATTTCCATATGAAACGGTATATCGTCATGGATATGGTTATCAAAATGGGGCTCTCAAAATGGGGGAAAAAATGTTGCTTCTTTGCTGTCAGGTATTTGGCTTACTAGTGATGTACAACCACTTGGCCAAGGACATCTACACTAATGTCACACTGCACACACACAGTGGCAGATCTATTAAAGCGCAAAAAGGTGCAGTTGCACCTCTCCTCGCTAGAAAAATCATTGCAAGTGCTTTAAATTGCACCTCTCAGTTAGTGGTGGTGCACTCCAGATGTACAGATTACCTTATTTCCATTTTCAATATTTAAGTAAATGTCTTTGCCCTTTTACTTTAATTTATGTTTATATTACTCTATTTACTTAAGTTTACAATGTAAATAAAGAAGTGCTCCCTATTTGGATTCAAATAAAAATATTAGAAAATCAAATTCTCGCCAAATCAAAATATGAAAAATTAGTTTTAGTGCAAAATACAATTTAGGCTAAAAATGATAGCTCATTAAGTCAATATATACTTCATATTACAATCCCATAAAATCAAGTTTTTTTATTTGATATGTAAGAAATAAAAGCCGCCAAAAATTATTTTAAGAAAATGATTATTCCGAAAAACCACTTTTCAAACTTAGTCAATATTTTTACATAAAACAATTTTTCATGTATGATATGAATGCATGAAGGGACCTAAGGTTAATTTAGGTAAAAAACCTTACATGTTCAATTCACAAAGAGTTTTTAATCTTTCAAAATTGGACTTCCGCTGAAAAGATCCTAAGTTCATCAACACATATAATCCAATTTTCAATCCTATGCGACATGGTCCCATAGATTTTTGGGACATGACATAGCCAATTAATCATTTTTTAGGAGAGGAATTACAATTTTTTTGTTAGGCGATCTCCAGACATGGCCATAGTATGTAGCCCTTAAAATATACAAAATTCATCTTCAGTCATAGGCTAAAAGAATTTGGCCAAATTTTGAGAGTTACATTTAGTCCTTTAGCCATCCTCCCAAGTCACTTGTAGACCATGCCAAATTCTTTTGTGGGCCCAACACATGTGTTGCCCAAATACAAAAAAGTATCACGTGTGGGTGTGAGAAGGGGAACGACTTGTGCAACTGCGATCCAAAGGTTGATATTAAAGGCGTGCTGACGTCTGCTAGCTTTAATTATTATTTTTGTTTCTTTTAACCTTTTAAATGCATTTAAATTCTCTACTTATTCACAACTTTTCCCCTTTTTTTTTGTTTTTTTTTTGTTTTTTGTTTTTGTCAAATGTTTTCCACACATTTCATTCAACCATTTCCTACAATTTTATTCTCTTTACTTATTTTGTTATTCACATTGTAGTGGAATGTATGAGTATTTTACCATAGTCTTCCTCAAAATAATAAAATATGGAGGGTCCTAAAATATAGCCCCATATGACTAGAGATGAAAAAATTTATCCCTATACTATTCTTTAAAAAATTAATATTTTGGAAGGCTAAAATTATAGCCGTAGACTACATTTAACCCTATGACTGGATATGGCCTTACAGATGAATTACAATTTTTAGGTGAGCAATCCTCTTTGGCCATCTCCAATAGTGGATGACTAAATATAGCCCACCCATGAAATTTAGCCAACTATTATGGTTTTGTAAAGAATAGTGTTTGACTATATTTTTACCGTCTCCAGTAGTGTAAGGATAAATCATAGACCCCTCAATATTTTATTTGTTTTTATTATATTCTTTAAATATATTGAATAATTTAATTAAAGTACTACTTTAGACCTTATTTAAAATTGTGAGAAATTATGAAGAATGATGAAAAGTGACATGACTTGACCCAAATTCCACTTTGGAATCTAAGCCGAACTCTATGCGTGTCCAACACCTGGCAAGTGCAAGCACACTTGGCCAAATTTCCCTTCTAATTAAGAATCAAAATTCTTTTGCGGTTTGACTTCTGCCAAAAATTCGATTATCCCCTGTAATTCGCCCATTTCCCAAAATTTTCACCTGTAAATATACAATTAATATTGAAAACCAAATCCCAATCGTTTAGCACGCATAAGATAAATAACTTTGAATAGCCTCAGGCCTCTTTATACCAAATAAATCATTCTATCATAGGAATCTAGTCTCAACTCTTAGAGCAACATGAATACCTTATTGTCACATCCCTAGATCAGCTCCGCTGTAGCACGATATTGTCTGCTTTAGGCCCTACTCTCTAGCCTCACGGTTTTGTTTATGGGAACTCACGAGCAACTTCCCAGTGAGTCACCCATCCTGAGATTGCTCTAGCTCTAACTCGCTTAACTTCAGAGTTTCTATGACTTTGAAGCCAGTGAGCTCCCAAAAGGCCTCGTGCTTGATGGAGGCAGTCATGTACATATAAGACACATCACCTTCTCTTTGTTGGTCAATGTGGGACGTTACACTTTTGCCATTGATGCCAACTTTTGCCATTAAAAAACCCACGTTGGGCTACTTTGGTGAAGACCATTTCTTTTCTTGATAAATCAAAGAAGTAGCTTTTTGCACAAATACAAGAAGTGTACCGGAAGGATTTTGAAAAAGCATTTGGAGTACTACAGGCTTGATGGGCTATTTATTGGGGCCCTGTACGTTTGTGGTGCAAGGATAACCTCCACTCAATCATGATGACGTGTATAATTTTGCATAACTTGATTGTGGAGGATGAGTATGAATATGTTGAAAAGGAATATGATGATGAGGATATGTTTCCACAACAATTCAGGAAGGCCAGAGCAAGACAATACGAGCAGGAGGCAAGCATTACATATGAGTACCACTAAGATAGGTAGACTCTCTCTAATTACATGATTCGTCATAATAGAGTTTGATCTCCACATGTGCATTAGAGTTTCCGACATGATTTGATCAATCACCTTTGGAGGAGCTTTGGAGATAGTGAATGAGGTCGACTGTTGTTTCAATTCTCCTTTTATATATGTTTCAATTATGTTGTGTGTTTTCTTTTCGAATAAAATTGTAGTTGTGGAATTTTAATTTTTTTAGGTCAAATTGTTCAAAAAATTAAGGGAGATTCACTATTATACCCAATATAGGGGCCCAAATTATAAAACAAATATACATGAAATGGACTTTATAAACACACCCAAAACCCATTTACAACATAACAAAGAGGCTTCAAACTTCCTATAAATTTCAAAACTGCCATCGATTTCTTTAAACAAGCTCAACTCCAAAACCACATAAGAAAAACCCAAAACACTCGGCATCAAAGTACTTTAATAATGAAAATTAAATTCAATAGGGTCAACTGTCATTTTTTTGTTTTTTGTTTTGTTTGTTTATAGAAATTAAATGGTGTAGGGTTTATCTATATCACTAGTGCGAAGAATGAGTATATAATTAAATATCTCAAAAATTAAATTATGAAGTTGTTTAAAAAGACTAATTGAAGAAAAGTTATCCATGAAAAAAAAAAAAAAAGACTTAAATCATTCTTAAACAATTTAATGAAGTTGTGGAATTAAAATTTGAGTTTGGAAGGTTAGGGAATAAACAGTTTGAATATGAGTAAAACCTAAGTAGTTATCTTTTGGAGAAAGGAAATTTGGGTTTTAAACCAAAATGGTTGGAGAAGTCCTTACAATTTCGACATCGCATCATTTTGCTTCACCAAATCCGAGTGTGTATCCAATTATTTTTTGTTTGAAAGTGGAGGGAGACTTATTCACACGCTGATGCCTTGGTTGGCTATCCCTTTCGCATAGCCAACTTTTGATCCGGTTACGAGATAAAAAACAGTTTTGCCAGCTAAGACAAGGAAAAGGACAAGGATAAGAAACATAAGAAATGTCAGTACTTTGAGATGTGCTCAACCCCAAATATGCAAATGTCCTTTTCAAAACTTAAAAGAAAAAAAAAATAGCAAGCCTGGGCAGGACTAAGAATGGTGAAAGGCCTGGTTCCTGCGGGTGCAATCGTTGTGGATGTTCTTAGCAAAGATAACTATGAGCAATGGAGTGCGTTGGTTAAAAATTACTTGCTGGCTCAAGACCTTTGGGACGTAGTGGAGGCTACAGCTGAACCTCCTGTACCAGAAGAAGTTGATCAGTTCATCGGGAGGAAGAAGACTGCCGCGGCTTTACATGCAATCCAAATTTCGTGTGGGCCGGATGCGTTTTCCGTGATTAAGGAGATCAGTTCAGCTAATATTGCTTGGCATATTTTGGCCCAAACGTTCAAGCCACAACGATGGAGATCTGTTCAGTCTGCAAACTCATCACACAACCCAGGTATACTGTTAAAAAAAGAAAAAAGAATACTCAAATGTTAATGTGCTCCGTCCTTGCAAAGACTTGATCTGAATACATATAAACCTCTAATTTCCAAATTATTTTTATTCAGCCAAACATATATTAGTTTAGACTTATTTTGATATATAATAGATGCGAATAATTAATGTCCAAACATATATATAATGTTAAAAGTTATTTAGTTCAGTTTAATTAGTTTTTCAATTAAATAATGCTGACATGGCCACGTAGAGACCAAGTCAAGCAAGAGTCCTAGAATGTAGAAGTTGTGGTTTAGTTTGTTCACCACGTTCAGATTTGCTTCCGTTGCTTAAGGTAGTTGAACTCCACAAAATCTGCACATGTTGTGTGTTAGTGGTTATTGTGGGTTTGTTGTTTTATAAGCTTTGTTTTTCAGATATATATAAGAATCGTTTAAGTTAATTTCAGTTTCTCAACATCTGGTATCAGAGCCCCTTCTGGGCCTGAACAAACTTGAAAAAGGTGAAAGATTGTGTCTTGCAGCAACAAGAAACAATGGCAACTGACAAAGCTACTGAGAGTTTTGTTCAACCAGCGATTCCACGTTTTGATGGTCACTACGACCATTGGAGCATGTTGATGGAAAATTTTCTCAAGTCAAAGGAGTACTGGAATCTTGTGGAATCTGGAATTGACGCCCCAGCAAAGGGAGTTGTGTTGACTGAACAACAACAAAAGAGGGTTGCTGAACTGAAGCTGAAGGACTTGAAGGTAAAAACTACCTTTTTCATGCACTTGATCGATCTATCTTGGAGACTATACTCGAGAAGGAGACCTCCAAACAAATATGGGATTCTTTGAAGAAGAAGTATGAAGGGTCAGAGAGGGTGAAGCGTGCAGTGCTTCAAACTCTAACAAGGGACTTTGAAACTCTACAAATGAAATCAGGAGAGTCCATCACTGATTTCTTTGCTAGAACTTTGGGAATAGCAAGCAAGATGAGATCCAATGGTGGCACCATGGAAGAAGTCAAAGTTGTGGAGAAAATTATGAGATCATTGACTCCAAAATTTGACTACATTGTATGTTCAATTGAAGAGGCAAAGAACGTTGCTGAGTTACGTGTTGATGAACTA